GTGCTATTGCTCCAGTCCCAGCACCCTGTTTTGTTCTGCAAGACCAGCAGAAGTTTTGTGTCTTGAAGTTGAGCCTTGAAGGACAAGTGGGACTTAGCCTGATGAAGAAGTGGGATGAGGGAACCATTCTTGAACGAAGGACTAAGACATGGATCAGTGGCTGAGCAGCAGGAAGCAGATCTCTGGGCTCCTAGCCCTGTGTCCTCTCCACCACCAGGCAGGGATGTTTTGAGCGCTGCTCATGCGGCAAGGAGGTGGAGGCACGCAGGAGAGAAAGCACCCAGTTTGTGTCTCAGGATGAAAAGCTTTGGCCAAAGAGAAATAGGGGACTCAGAAGAGGAAGCTTGGAAGAGTGCATGGAGCGGGCCATGGCCTGGTGGGAAATGGCAAAGGGAGGGTTTTTTTGAGATGTGTCCCAGCAGCCCGACTGTTCATTCTAGTCTTGTTTTTGAGAGGCTAACTCAAGAAGAGACTTAACTGTGGTGGTTTTTCCTCTTGAAAGTTACACCTGCATCACTAAACCTCATGTCGCCCTGTCTGTTCCCTTTTATTCTTGCTTTGTGTTTTATTTCTTGGTCACCAACCTTGTGGCAGTACCCATAAATACTTTATATGTGCTCAATGAAGTGCTCATGCTTGGTTATTAAGTTAATAGAATTATCCCTGACAGTTGACACCCCAGAAGGGTGATGTGTCAGTGTGGAAGCGCCAGGAGAGCATTGGCGTCCAAACTGGTGGCTGTGGGGGTGGCAAGCTCGATGAGTCCTCTAATCTCCCCACAGCAGGGGAGGTGCTCTGAGAGACAGGGATCAGGGTTGCTTTGTGTTTGCCACGCTCGGGATCAGACTCAGGGCCGCACACATTCCAGGTGAGTGCTCTCCTGTGGAGCTGCATGCCTGGCCCCCTAGATTCAGGCTTTCTGATGAGAGTGCAGGGCTGGCTGGAAGGATGGATGGATGGGTGGAGACAAGTGAAAAGATCTCTGAGAGCAGAAGAGGAGAACTGAAGTTTCCATGAAGCTGATAGTTTCTGTTTCAGGATTCTGTGTCTGGGCTGGAGAGATAGTACAACATGTAGGGCTCTTGCCTTGCACGCAGCCAACTCAGGTTCCATCCCATCTGTCCACCCTGGGCACCACCAGGAGTGATTCCAGAGTACAGAGCTAGGAGAAACCACTGAGCATCACTGGGTGTGACCCTCCACCACAAATAAACAAAAAAGATTCTCTGTCTGGTTAGCTGGTTTCCTCTTTTGTTTGCTGAGATACCACTGCTTAAAGGAGATAAACCAGGTTCCAGAATTTCCGATTTTGAGATCTTGAGATCTCATGTAGATGTTTGTTCATCTAACAGGTGGTCTCCGGTTAAAAGGAGTCAGAGGATTTTTTTTTCTTTTTGGGTCATACCCGGCAATGCACAGGGGTTACTCCTGGCTCTAAACTCAGGAATTACTCCTGGCGGTTCTCAGGGATGCTGGGAATTGAACCCAGGTCGACCACATGCAAGGCAAACGCCCTACCTGCTGTGTTATCGTTCCAGCATCAGAGGATTTTTTATTTGTTTTTTTGCAGGTATTTCAGTATTATTTTTATGCTTGGACTACATGAATACATATCCAATAGAAAATGTAAAAAAAATTTTTGATTTGTTTTTTTTTCCTTTTTTTTTAAATTTAGATTTTTATTAGTGAAACACCATGAGGTACAGCTGTAGATTTACAAATTTTTGTGCTTGGATTTCAGTTATACAATGATCAAATACCCATCCCTCCACCAGTGCCCATTCTCCATCACCACTGATCCCATTATCTATCCCTCCCATCCCCCGCCCCCCATCCCACCCTGCCTCTGTGGCAGGGCATCCCCCCCTTGTTCTCTCTCTCCTTTTGGGTGCTGTGGTTTGCAAAAGAGGCGTTGAGTGGCAATCATGTTCTATCTAGAGTCTACTCTCAGCACGCATCTCCCATCCTGGGAGGATCCTCCCAAATAAAGGATTTTTTATTTTAAAAGGAGGTTTGACTGGCCCTGCTTACTAGGATCCCCTGCTAGTGAGAGGAACACCCCGTTTCCTGACCAGTGCTGGGGTGTTCTTTCTCACTTCATCCCTGCCATGGCTTCTCTTTCCACGTGCTCCTCCATCCCGGCCACAGACCCCTCTCTGTGAGATTTCCCATGAACCCCAGTTGCACACAGCTCCATCCCTGTGTGGGACTTGCTCTCCTGCCGCTTCCTGTACAGAGTGGTCCCTCAGCCTTCTCAGATGAACAGTGCTTTTGTGAAATAGAGGTTTCCCCTGGTTGTTTGGCGAGATCTTTGGGGAGGACAGGATAAGGATTTTTAGGGGGAGCCCACAACTGGCAGAGTTTAGGGATCAAACGAGGGATCAAACCAAGCCTCCCACATGCCTCACGATCTGTTTTTCTTTTTATATTACATGTTCAGAATACAGTATTGTATGTTTATAAGTCACCCTTTTAGCGGCAGGAACTGGAAGCTGGGACCCCAATAACCTCTGGGCACACAGTCTCGGCCTGTTCTGCAGCCTGGTTGGTATAGCTGTTCCTGTGCAGAGTCTCTGAAATAAAGAATCGTTTTAAAGCCAGGTTACATTTCTTACAGTCTGCTCCATCAAGCAAAGCACTCAGGATTTTGACAAGAGAAACCAAATTCTTTATAAAGGGCAGGGGAAGGGAATAAAAGAACCCTAAACAATTCAGTTACACTAATGGCCCTTGTATTATTGTGACACAATTACTCTCAAATAAAAAGAGGAAAAACAAGCTGTGTTTGGTAGGTGTACTCTCTGTTCCCTGCCTTGTTTTTCCGCTCTAAAGTATAGTGCTGTGTTGACGTAGGGATGGAACTGCTATGAATATTGATGTCAGCAAAAGCTTTCTCTCCTGCGCCCCCCTCCCCCCACCAACCCTCACCCCTGGGCCTGGTCTAGTAAATAAAGCAGAAAAGAGAGGAAGAGAAGAGGAATTGTGTGAGGAGAGTGCTGTTTTCTGTGTACCCTTCCTTGTCAGAAGTCTGATGGTCCATGTTTGGCAGTCAGGGCCAGATACCTCTGCCTCTTCAGGGACATTTTTGCTTGAAGTTAGAGCAGCGACACTGTATGTCTCCAAGCTGTGGGTCAGCCACCCTTCCTCACTGAAGCCTTCCTGGATTTCTCCTCCCTCCCCAGAAGCCAAGTCAGCTCACCCCCTCAGAATGCCTCCCTGGAGAGTACCCACGGGATCTGCAGGAGTAAGAGTGTAATCATGAGAGGCTGAGGGAGACTCTAAGAGTAAACAGAAGAGTCCTTGGGGGTGTCTGTGCATGACTGGAAGCGGGTGTGCGTGCTCCTGAGCTGGGGACCTGTTCAGAAGCCACTTGCGGGACCCTGGACGCACATCTGCAGGGGGCATCCTGGTCAGGGACGGTCTTCAGAGCTGGTTGAGGGGGTACGTGTAAGCCAGACCCTGCTGAGAGAGCTGGAGGAGCACGGGGCTGGAGGGTGCGTGTTTCTCTGGCTAACTCACACACAGAATTGGCCAGACCTCTGCCATGGGGCTCCGAGAGCCCGGGGGGGCTCTCTGGAGTGGTGGTCAAAAGAGACCCCACCCAGAAAGGAGAAACCCATGAACTGGCTTTCTGGGGGCAGGAGTCTGGGGGGCAGCCATGAAATGAGAGCTCCCTGGTGATAAAAAGGAAGGAAGAGTGCAGGAGCATGACACGACAGTGCAGCTTGGGGTAAAGTGAACCTCCCTGAGTAGAGCCCAGATCCAGTGCCCGGTAATAAAGCCAAGCCTGGCTCAGGGGATATGGCCTGACTGGGGGCTCCCGCAGCAGGATGGCTCGCAGGCAGTGCACAGTTTTCCAGACCCCACCTGTGCCATACCACCCTTTTGGAGGCTAGAGCCCCTGGTGGAGATGCTGCAGTTCCAGCTGAGTGGGAGAGGAGCTACCTGCGTGTTTCTGGGGTTTCGTGACCCCTTGCGTTCCGTCTCTTTCTGAGTGGGTCTCCTGTCTCCCATCTCCCTGAGGTCTTGGTCCCTTTCCTCACATCCTGCAGAGAAAAGACACATTAGAGGATTTGATGGCTTCTCTGCAAGCGGTTTAAGACCGATGAGTGTGCATGTGGTTACGGCCGACACTTGCCAGAAAGGCCTCTTGTAAAATTAATTGCTCAGTCCATATTGCTAATGAAAATGGAGCTGCAGAGGCAAGAGCCGAGTCCCGCCATGCAGACCTGCTGACGGCATGTTTCCCACAGCTCAGGGAGCTGCAGGCCTTAGGCTGGAGAGGATCTGTGGGTGCTCCCACCTGCCGGTGGCCTCCTGAAGCCCTGTGGCCATCATCTCGGAGTGGCTATGGGGCTGTCACAGGAGCTGGGGTCAGGCCAAGCCCAGGCTCTGCAAAAAGCTGCATGGTGGCAGTTCAGCAGTATCAGTAGACCAAGGTATGTGCCAGGAAGTGGGCAGTGGGTTTGCTGTTCTCAGCCATTCACCCAGCACTGTGTGATGAGGACTCTGTGGAGCAGGGGAGAGGGATTTGCCTGCGTCCCCTCACTTGCCGCTCAATGACAGAGCAGCCCCTGACACAGAAGCCTGAAGTGTGCCCAAGAGGAAGAGAGTCACAGCAGATGCCTCTTCATTGCCCCCGAAGGATGCGCAACTCAAGCCACCGTTGGAATCTTTGTTGCGCCCTTGTGCTTTTCTGGGCCTCATTTGGCCATCTCAGGAAGAAAACATGCTGCATCTTGCGAGTGTGCTGATCACACACGCCACGTCCACCTTGGGCCGGTGCAATTGTACAGCCTCGAAGGAAAAGCATTTTACACTTTGTTGCTTATGAGAAATTCAGTGTTAGAATTAAAATGCCTTCCTGGTTCAGGTGTAGTGCTAATTGTTTTGTTTTTCCTAATAAAACCTTGCTGGACGAAAAACACTTTTTATCTTGGAGATGTTGATTCTAAATTCCTATTTCTCTTCTGCTTTTGTTTCTTCATCTCTTTTCACAGGAAAAAGTAGAATATGCCTTCCTGATTATTTTTACAGTCGAGACGTTTTTGAAGATTATAGCGTATGGATTATTGCTACATCCTAATGCTTATGTTAGGAATGGATGGAATTTACTGGATTTTGTTATAGTGATCGTAGGGTAAGTCTCTTTTATTGGGGGGGGAGGGAGGAAATGTTTGGAAAATGGGAGGTGGGGAGTAACAGACAACAGTCTTTCAAGAAGAATCTGGTCATTCTTTTGTGTTGGTTGATGGAAAACAAAAACCCCTATAGAACTCTTCAAAACTGGGGATGTTGCTGTCAGTCTCCAGGTAAGGCTGAAATGTTCTCATTGTCACATGTTATGGAAGGCAGTCCTGATGATGAAAGTTTATCTGACAAGGTCTTGAGTCTCCACACTTAAATCTGCCCTGCTGGCGATCAGAATCAAATGGGTAGAAAATTTACCACCAAGTTCAACTGAAAACAAACAGCGAGGAAGTAATAATCACGTTAAAAGTAGTGAGGTGTTCTGCTACTCAACTTCCCTTGAGCAAAACCATTCATTCTTTTCTGCTGAATTGCGGGGTGGGGGGTGGGGGGGAACTCTGGCATGCTACTCTTCCATCTTAAATAAAAAAGTAAGTGTCTGACTAATGTCAGCTATCTGGCATAAAATAAGCTAATCCAGAAAAAATGCACAGACCCAGATCTTCTCCTAAAGTCTTGTCACAGGAAGAAGACACCAACAGTGCTAGAGGAGAATGTTAAAATAACAAAGTGCAGTCTGTGTTATTTTGGTCTTTCCACCCTTGGAAATATTGCCAGCGAGCAAAAAAGGCATCAGTATCTTTGAACCAAATACCCATATAGAAAAAAGAGGATCATTCCCTTTGCAGAGCCATAGTTACTTATCTGTCAAACGCATTGCTTCTTAGACTTGCTCTTATAGAGAGTGATTGTTAAATGGTCTCTTTTTAATCGTGATTTTGTTCTGCTGAGTTTTGCAGTTAAGAATGTGATCTTTCTTTTGGATTAGTCTTTGTTAATGAATTCTTTGGCTTTTAAGGGAAAACTAATAATACCTAGGAATGTTGGGAGAAGGGGATCATTTTTGAACTTGTCCTTTCAAACTAGGAAATTAAAATGATATCCAAAGCTGTGGCCAGTGAATTTGGGTAGGGGTCTGGGTCAGGGTAGGGGAAGAAGGGAGTTAGTTTTTGCCCAAACTACCTTTGTACAGGAGTGCCTAGGATGTCAGTTCAGAGGCAGAGCAGCTAAAATATGCTGTCCCTTTCTTCATTTGGTGAACTCTAGCAAGGTACCATGAGACCAACAGTCTTGCAGATCTCTTGGTTCCGCAGTAATCTTGCTTTGCCTCTCCTGGCCCTGTACTTTATGTTCAGCTAGAGGGCAGAGATGTTATACACCATTTCTTTTGTTCCTGTCCTACAATCTCTTTGACTTTCTGTCTGAAGACATTTTTCAGAGCACAAGTGTATGACCGTCTCACTGAGTTAAAGAGGCAGAAATGAGTAAGGGGGGCCCAGGTGGTTAGAGTTTGAGAGACACCGTATAGGAGGGAAAATAGATGTCAAAATATGTTGGGACTCTTTTGAGTTTAGGCTGAAGACTAAACTATTCTTACATGGATTTAGAATCCATTCACTAGGGACAAAGGAAACCTGCAAGCTGACTGGTACAACCAGGGCTCATTCAGGTTTAAGACGTGTTTGACATCTGACCAACCAGCATAGAAAGACCTCACTGGGGGACCCAGGAGGGCTATTAGGAGTTGGGCAAACCTGATTCTGGGGCAGGAATTAGCAAACTACAACTAATGAACCAAACCCATTCTGCCACCAATTTTTGAAAATGGAGATTATTTTTTGATAATATATGCACACGTGTTTACTTACACAATTTAGTAGAATCACTTAGTTCCATATAGTCAAAAATATTTGCTAGGCATCTCTGTTCAGGAAAAAAATGCCAGTCCCTGAATATCTGAAACCCTGGTTGAGGGTTTAGAAGCCTATTTAGAGGTCTAAATAGGGTCCTACTGATGCTCAAGCTGCTTAACTGCCTACCAGTTTAAAACTCGGCTTCCTTAAAGGAAGACAGAAAGATCCAGATGAAGAGTCTGACATCTAGCCAAATTTTAGTAGATAAATGAAGAAATGTAACTTATAACCTGAAGAGATTCCATCAAGGGAAATAGTCTTAGTCATGGCAGTAGTGCCAAATTAGTAAGTAGATAATTACAAGGCGAGAGAGAGAGAGAGAGAGAGAGAGAGAGAGAGAGAGAGAGAGAGAGAGAGAGAGAGAGAGTACAGTGGGTAAGGCTCTTGCCTTGCATGCAGACAATTCAGGTTTGATTCCTGGCATCTAATATAGTCCTCTAAGCACTGCCAGGAGTTATTCCAGAGAGCAGGACTAGGAGTAACCCCTGACCATATCTGGGCGTGACCCCAGAACTAAAAATAAATAAGTAAATAAATAATAAGTGGATAATTACTTGTAAGACTTGAAAAACAACTCTAGTAAATATGTTATGGTCTTACAAAATCTATGACAAGGACAGTATAAAAAGCAAAATAGGAAATGTATCTAGAAATGTATTAGGAAATAGAATATGTGTCTGAAGTGAAAAATTCTCTGGACTGGCTCAAAAGCTAAATAGACATGATAGAAAGAAAATAATTCAAATAACTTTAAGCTATAGCAGCAACTCAGAAAATAATGATGGAGAAGAAATGAGTGTCGCATTACTAAACTGTGTGTCACTATCAGAAGACCTTGTTTTTTCTCCCCCATATATAGTTCAACTCCCATGAAAGGAAATAGAAGGGAGATTAAAAAGAAAACATTTGAAGAAATTTCTCTGAATTTTCTAAATTTAAGCCATAAACCAACACGTTCAACAAAGCCCAGAGAGAACAGTAGGAAGGAGAAAACGACATCAGGGCACAGTGGAATTAGAGTCACATCGTTCTCATGACCAAATAGAGGGGGAAAGTAAAGAGCAGAGGAAAAAATCACCACAGAGTTTGTGTCAACTGCTGTTCAGGCCAGACGAGCGAGTGCTGGGGGAAGCGTCAGCCTAGAATTCCTTCTCTCTTGACGAGATCTTTAAGAATTGAAGTAAAAAAAAATGTTTTTTTGTGCTGGTTTGGGTCACACCCAGTAATGCTCTAGGGTTACTCCTGGCTCTGCACTCAGGAATTACTCCCAGTGGTGCTTGAGGGACCATATGGGATGCCGGGGATTGAACTTGGGTCGGCTGTGTGCAAGGCAAACACCCTACCTGCTGTACTATTGCTTTGGACCCTGAAGTAAATTTTTTTTTAAAAAATGAATTTAAAAGTTTTGTTATAGTTTAGGTACAACAGTGCTAAAGTTTATAGTGTTGATATATATATGTATGTATGTATATATATATATGTGTATATATATATATATATAGCACATTCCACTACCACTGAGATCCACATGCCCTAATCCACCCCCAAAGCTGAGAATTCATTACCAGTGTATCTTAATACATGTTAAGAAAAATGCTTCATGCTGAAGAAAAACAATAATACACAGAAATCTAGATCTATCTATGCAAAAGAAGCAAAGAATATCAGAAGGAGTAAGTACCAAAAAAAATTGTCACTTTAAGGTATCTTTAAAAATAATTATTTCAAGCACAAATATGTCCATTATGGGGCTTATCGCTACAATGAAACTTAAAATTTTACAAAGAACATAAGTAAATGGACATATGCTCTTGGAAAATGCGTGTATTGCAGATGAACTGAAAACTATTGTTTGCAAGTATATTGTGATTAAGATAGAGAGGTATATAGGAAACCCTAGAGAACAGGCTGGCAAATCTCAGTCCAGAGACCAAATCTGACTTGTTGCCTGTTTTCCCATCACCATCACATCAAAAAAAGTATTTTGCTGCTTGCATTAGCAAAATAAAGTTTTATTGGGAGACTCTATGTCTGTGGCTATTTGGTGTTAGGATGGCAGCATGAAGCAGTTAGGTTTGTAAATCATAAAATATTTATTGCCTGGAATTTTACAGAAAATTTTCTGCTCAAACTTTATGTGGCATTGTCACTAGAAAAATAAAAAGATGTAGTTAATAAGTTTATATTGGAGATTAAATGGAATTTTTAAAAATAAAGCCTATTAAACTAAAAAATGGTAGGAAGAAGAAAAAGGAACACTTAGACAAAACAAATAGAAAACAGTGGGGCCAGAGTGATAGTACAGTAGGTAAGGTTGTATAATTTGAAAGACAAATAATTTGAAAGTAAAGGCATAAAAGTTTATACCATGTAAAAACTAATCAAAAGAGAGCTGGAGCGATAGCACAGCGGGTAGGGTGTTCGCCTTGCACGCGGCCGACCCGGATTCGATTCCCAGCATCCCACATGGTCCCCTGAGCACTGCCAGGAGTAAATCCTGAGTGCAGGGCCAGGAATAACCCCTGTGCATCACCGGGTGTGTGCCCCAAAAGAAAAAAAAAACCCTAATCAAAGGAAGCTTTTATGGCTTAATGATTTCTAAGTTCAAAGTAGACTTCAGAAAAAGAAAGATTATCAAGGATAAAGAAAGTCATTTCATAATGATAAGGGAGTGATTTCCTTACGAATTTATGATCTTCCTAAGTTTATGCATAGATGGTATATTGCTTCACATGTATATATAGAATAACTTCAAAATTCATGAAACAAAAAGTAATAGAAGTAAAGGAGTTGACAAATATATAATTGTAGTTATCTTTTGGGGGGTGGGGCCTCACTCAGTAGTACTCATGGGCTACTCTTATCCTGGTACTTGAAGGTTGCCCCTGGTGGTGCTTTTGGAGATCAAACCCAGTCTCTGGCATGCATTCCAGCTTGTTGAGCTTTCTCTCTGACCCTGGTTGTAATATTCTCTCTTGAGGTACTGGTGATACGACATCTAGAAAGAAAAATCACTATAGCTGTAGATGTATTTTTAATAATACTATCAGCAAACTGAATTTCACATTTTTAGAAGACTCTACAAAATAGAGCAGAATGCACTTTTTTTTTTTATCATGTACATGGAACCCTCACCAGGAGAGACATACTCTCTGGACATATAAGACATATGAAACAAGCCTTGGTGAATTTAAGATAAAAGGCATCCAAAGTTATGCTTTCTAAATGAGTTTCTGGAAAGATAGTATGAAGAAGCATGTGACTTTCTAGATAGAGTATCCATGAACATTGGAAGATGAAAATGTGAATATATTACTATTTACATTTTAAAAGCATGAAGTTTTTAGGAACAAGTAGTGTATTAAAAATGACTAAACCTTGCTGGGAGAAAATCAAATAGAGTTAAATAAATGGAATGATATCCCATAATTATGGGTTGAAAAATTCAGAAATGTTAGGATGTTGCTTTATCACAAGAAGGTCTGTAGATTGAATCATAATCTAATTTTAGCAGGATCTTTATTGAGATTGACAAATTTAATCCTAAAATTTATATGGAACTTATATTCTAGATAGTTTCCCAAAATCTTTAAGCAAAAACTGTAATCGGATCTTAAGGCTTACCGTAAAATTAAAGTAGTCAAGACAGGGTGAGAATGCTATAAAGAGAACATGTAAAGACCAGTGAAATAGAATAAGGGTCAGAAATAGACCCAAATGTATGTGATAGTTGATTTCAAACAAAACTTCCCTGATAATTCAATGAATTAAAGAATCACTGTTCAACAGATGATCCTGAACAATTTTCCATGTGGGAAATTAAGGATTTCTATTTTTACCTCATACCTCGGGCGGAGCAATAGCACAGTGGTAGGGCGTTTGCCTTGCATGTGGCCGACCCGGGTTTGATTCCTCCGCCCCTCTCAGAGAGCCCGGCAAGCTACCGAGAGTATCTCACCCGCACGGCAAAGCCTGGCAAGCTACCCATGATGTATTCGATATGCCAAACATAGTAACAGCAAGTCTCACAATGGAGACGTTACTGGGCCTGCTTGAGCAAATCAATCAACAATGGAAGGACAGTGCTAGCTCATACCTCAAATGAATTATTATGTTCTACATAAATGAATTTATGTAACAGCTAAAACCCTAAAATTTCATGGAGAAAACATTTTCGACCTTGGGGAAAATAGGCCACACCCAGCAGTGCTCCTTGCTCTGCACTCATATGGGGTTCCAGGGATCAAACCCAGGCTGACCACATGCAAGGCAAACATCCTACCTCCTGTACTGTCACTCTGACCCTATAGAAATTTCTTGTACACAAAAAACACTAGCCAGATAAGAAGTAATTAAAATGTCGTACTTTAATAAAATTGAGAACTTTAATAAAACTGAAAACTTTTATGCAAAAAGACTTAATGAAGAAAGTGAAAAGGAAGATGAGCAGCCTGGGGAAAAATATTCACAGTGCAGATATATGACAACGGACTTGTATTCAGAATCTATAACGATCTTCTAACTCAGAAACAAGGTAACTGAAAACCTGTATGAGCAAAAGATTTGAAGAGATCTTCACAAGAGTTATGTAAATGGACATCAAGGGCCAGAAGAGATGTTCAATAGTAGTCATTAAAGAAATACAAAATAAAACCAAAGCAACTTAGCACTACCGACCCACTAATTGCTAATAATGAAAAATGCATTACTAAGCGTAACATGAGAAACATACCCAATATTTAGCAGAATACAGAGCAAGCAGAACTCATATGCTGCTTGTAGAAATGAAAAATAGCACAATCATTTTGGAAAAGGCTGCCAGTGTATCATATGACATCCATATGACCACATTACTAGTGCTGCTCTTAGGTACTTATTCAAGATAAGCAAAAACATGTTCACAGAGACTTTATTCATAACAGATACTGGAAACAACCCAGTATCTCTCAACAGATGAATGAATAAACTTATTCTGGTATATTCATACAATGAAATATCACTCAGCAATAAAAGGAAATGAACTGCTGATAAATGTACAACTTGGATGAATCTCAGACATGGTGAGCAAAAGAAGATAAACAAAAAGGAGAACATGCTGTTATGATTCTATTTATATAAGAATCTAGGGAAGAAAAAAAATGTGGATACCTCAGGCCAAACTTGGAGGAGGATTGCAGAGGGGTGAGAGAACCATTTTAGATACTGGAAATGTTCTGTAACTTGATTGTGACTTAGTCTTATCCCTTTATCATAATTCACCATGTGCAGTTTAAATTTGTTTTATTACATCTAAATTGATTTGTAGTAAAGTTGATTTTAAAAGTTAAGTCTAAATTTAAACTGAAGCTAACTGTCAGAGCATCACATTTAGCAACAAATTAGAATAGTTCCTTGAGTGTGCTGAAGTGTGGTCAGAGGAAGAGAGTGGACGAAAGGTTAAAAGGGAAAGGGCAAGGGATGTAACCGGTAGAGCACCTGCCCTGCATGTGTAAAACCCTTGATTCAATCTTTGGCACCATGGAAGAAAGATTAAAAGAAAAAAATAGTATGTCTTCATCTGAATCAAATAAAGTTTCCATCTGCAGACTGTATCCCAATCAGCTGTTTTTTCCATTCCAAGTCAACCATAACGTATTGCTTTTGTCAAGATTCCTGATACCCAAGGCATTACGAAAGTAATTGATATTTCTGAAATGTTAACGGTCAAGAATGTCAGCACAGGAAGAAGCAGTGTGTCCATCAGAGCGGACATTAGTCTCTGCATAGAAAAAAATTGATCTGCGCCAACTGTACACCCACTCCTCCAGCTTCTCATTAAACACGTGTTTCCAGTGTCTTGTCTCCCCACACCAGCAAACTTCTGAGAAGCACAGCGTGAGATTCTCCCAAGGTGTCCCTGGGGGTAGCTTCTTGCCCTTTTCTCCTTTCTCGGGATAAACCTTTAATAACATTCTAGGATCAAATACTTTATCCTCATGTCCAGAGGGAGGGGACTCTGGTTCTATGATCTGATTCTAGGATTCAGTTTCTCCATTTTGAGGGGGGGGAAACTGAGGTCTTGAAAAGGAGAGGGACTTTGCCAAGGAAGAAAGAGAGAAAGAGAGAAGGAAAGGAAGGAAGGAAGGAAGGAAGGAAGGAAGGAAGGAAGGAAGGAAGGAAGGAAGGAAGGAAGAAAGAAAAAGAATGGAAAAAGAAAAAGCATCCTGTCTCTTGGAGGTGGACTTCAGTTTGGTTCCTGGTCCCCTGGCTTGTCGGGAATGGTGGTCAGTTTTTGCCTCAGGCTCCTGTAACACGATTCACCTATTTTCAAGGGCACTGCTGAAGAACTGGGGATATGAGGACCGTGAAGCGTGCGTTGCAAAACACTGATACTTGAAAGCCTCTTAAGTCACCACCTGCATAAATTACTTTTCTAATCCGCTGGGATGAAAATTCCTGTGGCTGCCGCACATTTCAGAAGGGTGTGAAGTTTTTTTCCCCCCCCCTCTTTCTTCCTTTTTATTTGTCTGAAGCTATGAACTTGCTTTGGAGACTTTCAGACATGGGCCTTGCTGCAGGGATTTGAATAAATTAACAACAACAGCATTAATGCCAGTGACAGAAGCGTGTCATAAATTTGATATATTCCCCCGTCCTGAACTCCTGAGCCCAGCATCTCAAGCGGTTTTGAGGCAGGGAGTTAACTCATTTCTCCATGTATCTTGCACTCTGGTTAGGGTCAGAGCTTAACTGCAGTACAATTCTACAACAAATGGCTAGTCTCAGAGTGCCCAGAATGGCATGCCCGTGCCCAATCAGGACTTGTAATCAGACCACCCTGTATTTTAGGGACGTTAGTGTCTTAACTCTGCGGACGCATGCCAGCGAGTTCAGAGTTTCTGTTCCAGCTGCTCGTTAAACTTTAGAAACCTTTTCTTTGTTGCTGGGCCAATCATTCCCACAATCTGATTGGCCAGCCTTGATTCTATTTGAAATGGGAAAATTTATATTTATTCTGAAAAACAAGCAAAGAATGAATGTTTATATGAAAGAGCAAAAGTAACTGTCAAACGAGCAGATTGCCTGAAAATAGCTTTATCCAAAAAAACCTCTGAGAGTAGGAAACTTTTTTCTTTCTTTCTTTCTTTCTTTTTTTTTTTGGTGGCTGCCAGATATAATATTATTCACATTGCAAATGAGAAAAATATTCAGCCTTACCTTAGAGGTCTGAGCTCCTGAGCATGTGTGGGTTGCATCATTTCCAAGACACCCCTACAAGAGGGCCCCGGGTCCCTGTGTGTTCATGACTACATTGGAAGGAGTAGACTGTATCGATTCTGATTGGGGCCTTTTGAGTCCATATTCATTTCCTGATGGGTTCATCAGATTTTTTTTTTATTTTTGGGCCACACCCAGCTGTGCTCAGGGGTTATTCCTGGCTCTACACTCAGGAATCACTCCCGGCGGTGCTTGGGGGCCATATGGGATGCTGGGGATCGAACCTGGGCCGGCCGCGTGCAAGGCAAACATCCTACTCGCTGTGCTATTGCTCCAGCCCTCATCAGATTTTTGTTGTTGTCGTCGTCCCTGTGTGTCTGCAAGTGTTGCTGGCACGAGGTTAGAACAGATAGATGGGTCCCAGGAACAGAAAAGACTACGGTTCCCTGTCCTGAGGAAACCACTTACACTGGTCCACGTGGCTGGGTGGGCTCTGCCACCAGTGGTGTGACCTTGAGCCTGATCTTGGTCTTGAGTGTTTTCCGAGTGTGCGGAGGTGACGCGAATGACAAGGTAGGCTAAGGGAGGAGGAAGGGCACTCTCCAGATGAAGGTCTGGCGAGTACATGGTCATTGTGATTCCTTTGGGAAAATCTGGTCAGTGCTGGCTCCCCTCATTGGGGCGAGGGGGGAGAGTCACCATGCTCTAAGGTACTATAGTGACAGGGAAGCCCTCCTGTACCAGGGTCTCCGGAAAATGGGGGCACGCTCGGGCTTGATTTAAGCAGCCGATGCCCCGAATTAGCCCTTGGTGGTTCAAAAATAACTGCTAGGATCATCCTGTTTTGCTTTCCAGGGTGACAGACTCTAATGCTTCTTCCTCTCTTCTTCTTTCAGGTTGTTTAGTGTAATTTTGGAACAATTAACCAAAGAAACAGAAGGCGGTAACCACTCCAGTGGCAAATCAGGGGGCTTTGATGTCAAAGCCCTCCGCGCCTTTCGAGTGTTACGACCACTTCGACTAGTATCAGGAGTGCCCAGTAAGCACCTGTCTGCCCACCCTCGCTGGGGCTCATTCTTCAGGGTGGGGCTCAGGGGCGAGGGGTGGGGATGGAGAACGGACCGAGCACTATGAGGTGAGTCCTCAGCCCACCACACAAGCCTTTACAGTTCAAAAAAACCCATTTGTACTGTCCCATTTGGATCCTGCGGTGGCCGAGAGAGCCCAGAGGGTGGGTCTGTGTGTCCCCCACCTGCTTCCCTGATTCCGTAGGAGAACCTTCTCCGGTAGACTGGAAGGAGATGGTGGCAGGGCCTCACTCCTCATTCCTGCCTTTCTTCCTCTTTCAAGAGGCCACAGCTGCTCCCCAGCAGCTCTGCCCTCTGAAAAGGATGGGTCATGTGAAGGGACTCCAGCGTCAGCCTCAGCCTCAGCCTCAGGACTGGACCCCCCAAACCCTGCCTAGCTCTCCTGGCTAGGATTGTGTCTGCCCCGCTGCAGAGAGGTGGCACCCACAGCCTCCCCTGCACCTGGGGTCATGGCCTCGAGGATGAAGGCCCCGTGAGAACAGGCAGGGAGGCCCCAGCGCCATCACTACAGTCAGCAGAAAGCCCGTGACAGTTGGGAGTGAGAGGCTGCCAGTCTGCAGCACAGAGGCTATGACGTCACCGGCTGCAAGGCTGCTGTTCCCACCCGTGCCATTCCCTCTGCCCTTGCCCCGTCCCTCCAAGCCAGGTTGATTCCCACCTGAGTGGGAGCAGGCCATCTGTCCGGGTCCCAGCCTTTAGGGGTGTGAGTGTGCGTCATCGCCTCTGCTCCAAGGCAGGGCCCCCCTTGCTGGGGACTCCGTTGGTGGAAGGCCTGCCTGCCCCTGCGTCTGCTCACAGCTGCAGGAAGGTCTGAGGGCCCATGTGCCTGTAGTTCACAGCTCCTGAAACCAGCAGAAGAACAAGCATCTGGTTTTTGCCTCTCTCGAAGGTCTTCAAAAAAATTTTTATGAACCCTTTGGCGCTCAGAAGGCGCCAAAGCTTTGCTTGGAGGAGGGGAACAACAACCACCACCACCAGAAAAGCGACCTCCCAATTTAACATTTAAAAAATGTAGGAAGTGGTGTGTTGTGTGTACTTGTTTTCCCAGATGGTTCATTTATTTTCATTGAAGAAGACCAGCACAAGTCAAAACCACAGAACTGTCTGGAAGCAATTGAGAAAAATAGGAAGACCTTGGAAATGACTGGCTTTGTTATGTGTGATGTGATTAAATGAGAAGTTCAGTGAGCAAGCATGTTCTTTCAGATTGAGCTGTTACAGCTTCATCTGATTTCAGAGTAACCACGACAACTCCCCCCCACTCCCCACCCCCGCCATCCCCATACACACACACACCGTACCTTCCCAAGAACATGTGACAAAGGCAATGTCCCTCTGTCTGTGCTGGCCACGGTGCAGCGTTAAGTTCTGGTGGAGCAGAACTCTCAGTACTGCTTTCCCTATAGCTTAGCGAAGTTTTCATGAAAGGCCTCATCCAGTGCTTTTGACACTTTTCCGGAACCTGTTCTAAAGTGGCTCCTCCACAGCATTACTGAAACTTGATGGAATTCTGCACCTGATAGACCCTGAAGTCAGCAGGGAGAATCGGGGCCCTGGGATTATGAGAGAACCGTTCAGCCTATGCTTTGTTTGGTTTGTGTTGGGTTTGGGGTCACACCTGGCAGTGCTCTGGGCCCATTCCTGGCTCTGCACACAGGGATGGTTCGTGGTGCTTGCTGCTTACCATACAAGGTGCCGGGGAGCGAAGCTGGGCCAGGTGCATGCAGGGCAAGTGCCCAACCCGCTGTACTGTCTCCCCAGCCCATGTGTTTTATCTGCTTCTCGCGGGAAGCCCGAGTCTCTTTTCAGGCTTCATGGGACTTTGGGAACAGCAGTGGGAACTCTCTGCCTGCCATTTCTGGTGCTGACTGAACCTTTTCTTCTCAGCTCTGTGAGATGGTTCAAAGTGCCCGGGTAGATGTATTGCTTCTTTTTTAAAAAAAATTATTAATGAAACACCATGAGGTACAGTTGTAGACTTACACATTTTTGTGCTTGGGTTTCAGTTATACAATAATCGAGTACCCATCCTTCCACCAGTGCCCATTCTCCACCACCACTGATCCCAGTATCCCTCCCACCCCCCATTCCCCCCATCCCACCGTGCCTCTGTGGCAGGGCATTTCCTTTTGTTCTCTCTCTCTCCTTTTGGTTGCTGTGGTTTGCAAAAGAGGCATAATATACTAAGAGGTTCACCCCATGGCTTGGACACTAGCCGCACATACTAGGGGAAAAGCCAGCTCAGATAGAGAAGGGAGCACTAAATAAAGGGTGTTGGGAGGATCCTCCCAGTATGGGAGATGCATGCTGAAAGTAGACTATAGACCGAACATGATTGCCACTCAATGCCTCTTTTGTATTGTTTCTTCTTACCCAGGGATTATCTTGTCTCTCTTCAGGAAAGTTCACACTCTAAGACAGGATTTCATTGTGTGTGTGTGTGTGTGTATATATATATATATATATATATATATATATATATATATATATATATTCGCTCAATGGAAGGAAAATCCATTTTTCAAGAGTGGGCCAGGCACGTATGGAGTTATTAACCCTCCATACTCAGATGATGAATATTTATCAGACCCAACCCATAATCAGTGTGTGAATGACCCCCAATGGTGTGAGGTCCAAATATATCTGCATAAGGAAGCACAGGTCTGACTTGTGCGGGTGCCCACAGCTGCTGGGTGGCTCAGCAGGCCAGACCAGTGCCTTCTCGTTCCTGGTTACTTTCTGAGGCTCTTTTCTGTCTAACCCACTGCCTCCTGGATTGGTCCCATGAGACCTGTTGTATGCATCAATAATGCACAGTGGTGGGGGAGGGCAGAAGAGGGAACAAAGAGATAGTGCAGCAGTAGGTACCTTTGCAAATGACTAACCCAGATTCATTCCCCAGTACTCCATATTATCCCTCGAGCCCTGATCTCTGAGGAGAGAGCCAGGACTAAGCACTGAGCACAGCTGGGTGTGGTCCCCTCCTGCTGCCCCCCAAAAAGGACAGTTGGATTTGTGTGTTCACAAGGACACATGCTGGCATTCAGATTCAACTTCCTCGTCTTCTAAATGTGGACAGCCTGAGATGCGGTCCTGACTCTAGCAGAACATGTTTACAAAGGAGATGGCATACTGCTGTCCAGTGCAAGGGTACTGACTACTGGGGAGTGGTTTTAGATGGCCCATTCCTATCTGGAAAAAAAGCCCACAGAAAACACGTGCAAGTGGATGAGACTTGCTGTTTGCTGTCCCCTCCCATCAGAACCATTAATGCTCATCTTACCGATCATTTCTTTTTCCAAAAAGGGTCCATTTAAGCGTTTAAATATTTAAAGGTGGTACCTCGGAACTTAGTCATAATGAGGTTCTTGGGTAGACGGGCTCTTTGCAAGTCTGAAGTCCTCTTTCCATCCTTCCCTGCCTCTGCTCTCCGTCTATACCCTCCTTTCTGTGCACTTCTTTCTGTCGTGGTGGTGGTGGTTTGCTTTGGTTTTGTTTGGGGACCACACCTGGTGGTGCCCAGACTTCCTCCTGGTTCTGCACTCAGGGATCACTCCTGCTGTCTACCTGTTCACCTTCCTATAGTCTTTGTTTTGAGTTTTTCTTTACATATGTGATAAGAAAATAATATAATAATGCAAAAAAAAAAAACCACGTTGAGGGGAGGATAGAAAGGAGGGAGAGGAAGTAGAAGAAAGCGTAAAGAAGTAAACCACCCAGCACAGAAGCTGAGCTCCCCGGATAGAAGGACTGCAGGAGACCAAACATGAGAAAGAGAAGCCCAGCTTCCTCTCAGCCTCGTTCTTCCTGCCACCTGATTGAATCCTCAACCCCTTCACCCCTCTATCTATGACCTCGCTCTCTCTCTTCCTACCCCCCACTCCGAGTTGACCTCGATGCATCCTGCAGCTCTCTAGCCCACCGTAGCCATGGCTCATCCTAACGTATTGCCTGGGATCAAACAGAACAGGTCTGAATTTCTCTCACCACAGTTCCCTTCCCTTCTTCCATCTCCCTTATTCCTTTAGATCCTTCTGGGCACAGTGATTAACCAAGTTGTTGACAATAGGATTTCAGACAGGGTTCCAACTCCAGTCCCACCACCAGTGACCGCATCCTTCCGGCAATGATCCCACGTTCCTTCCCATCCCTGTCCCCTACCCATCTCCTTGACAGACACATTTTTTATGTTCATCACTTCCAAATTCTATTATTATTTTTTATTAGTGAAACACCAGGAGGTACAGTTATAGACTTACAAATTTTTGTGCTTGGGTTTCAGTTATACAATGATCAAGTACCCATCCCTCCACCAGTGCCCATTTTCCACCACCCCGGGTCCCAGTATCCCCCGCCCCATTTCCCCCCATCCCACCCTGCCTCTGTGTCAGGGCATTCCCTTTTGTTCTCTCTCTCCTTTTGGGTTCTGTGGTTTGCAAGAGAGGCATTGAGGGGCAATCATGTTTGGTCTATAGTCTACTTTCAGCTTCTCCCGTCCTGGGAGGATCCTCCCAACACCCTTTATTTGGTGCTCCCTTCTCTGTCTGAGCTTCCTTTTCCCCTAGCACATGTGGCTGGCCTCCAAGTCATGGAGCAAAATTCCTGGCACTAATCTCGGCCACTGCTGGGTGTTAGTCTCCCATTTTGTTACTTTATGTTCCCCAGATGAATGAAATCTTTCTGTGTCTATCCCGCTCTTTCCGACTCATTTCGCTTAACATGATACTTTCCATGTAGTGCCACTTGTATGTAAATTTCATGATTTCATCTTTTCTAACAGCTACATAGTACTCCATTGTGTAAATGTACCAAAGTTTCTTTAACCAGTCATGACAGACACATTTTTAAAAAAATTTTTATTAGTGAATCACCATGAGGTACATTTACAGACTTACAAACTTTTGTGATTGCATTTTAGTCATACAGTGATCAAGTACCCATCCCTCCACCAGTGCCCATTCTCCACCACCAATGGTCCCAGCATCCCTTCCACCACCACCCCCATCCCCGCCACCCCACCCCACCTCTGTGGCAGGGCATTCCCTTTTGCTCTCTCTCTCCTTTTGGGTGTTATGGTTTGCAAAAGAGGTATTAAGTGAACATCATGTTCAGTCCATTGTCTACTTTCAGCCCGCATCTCCCATCCTGTGTGGGCCCACCTGGCACCCTTTACTTGGTGGTCCCTTCTCTATCTGAGCTGCCTTTTCTCCCCCAGCATGTGAGGCCGGCTTCTAACCTATGGAGTAATCCTCCTGGTACTTATCTCTACTATTCTTGGGTGTTAGTCTCCCATTCTGTTACTTTATATTCCACAAATGAGTGCAATCTTTCTATGTTGACAGACACATTTTTAAGATTAATTGTTGTAGTTTGGTAGTTTATGCAATAGTAGTGTTTAGTGGTTTAACTATATGCAGACACATCCTAGCAGCCCAGATGTGTTCAAGGCCCCCTGGACCTTCCTTCTTTACTTTTAGACTGCCTCTTCTTGCTTCCCATCTCAATTTCTCTTCTTTTCTGGCATTTTCAGAAATAATACTAGGATTGTCTTTTACAACAAGCACTTCCGGGGCATGCTCAGCCAAAGCATCTGCCTCACTCTCGGTTGCCTCCATCTGAGCTAAGGTCCCATTCTCACCCTTATCTTTTCCTACCCAGAGAGCTCTGTACTTTCCAACTGCTTCTCCCATCTTTCTTTAACTGCATCTTATTATTATTTGGAGGTAGGAAAGTTTATGTAGGGGTGGGAGGGGCAGTGTTCAGGGTCAACCAAGGATATATATATATACCCGTCAGTGGTTGGTCCCAGGGATTGAAGCCAGGGCTTCATATGTGCAAAGCGTGTTAGCTACTAGTCGAGCCACACACCCCTACCTGCTGCCTCTTTTTTTTGGGGGGGGTCACACTTGGTGATGCACAGGGGTTACTCCTGGCTTGGACTCAGGAATTATACCTGGCAGTGCTCAGAGGACCATATGGGATGCTGGGGATCGAACCTGGGTCTGCCACATGCAAGGCAAATGCCCTACCTACTGTGTTATCACTCCAGCCCCACCCCACCCCCACCTCCGCTGCATCTTTATGAAGCGTCTGCTTCTTGATGACAGATTCAAATCTGATCCTGTAACTGAATGCAAAACCCAGAGTTACTTAATAGCAGTACCAACTTACCTACTCTTTTCCACTATATGACCACCAAGACTCAGCACCCTGGACTCTCATTGCATTGCTTTGGGGACCTTCTGTGCTTTAGTTGTTCTTCCCTCTGCCCGAAGCAGCCTCTTTCCCAGGCCGTTCTCTGGAAATCCATCCTCCTCCACCCCCCAGCTCTGCCCAGATGACCTCTGCTGCCATGATCTCCTCTCCACTCCAAAGCACTGTCTTTCGTCTCCTTTTAATTTCATCTGGCTGATACAATTCACAGAGCATCTGCGTGCTCTCTTTGAGTAACTTGTGCTGAATTCTTAGTCTCCTTCTTGAGTATACATCCTTCGAAATAATACACTTTATATTATACATAACTTTGTGTTCATCCAAAGTACTAAACCCTGCATGATAGATGTTCGAGGAATTATGTGGGATGGATGAACCAATTCATAAATGAATGACTAATTTTGATTTAGGGCATATCCCTGTCTGGGTTACAGTTTTTCCATCTGACAAGTGAGGGAGTCAGATTCCAAGATCTTTAAGGCTCCCTTTTTTACCTTTTACATCCAGGCTTACTGTAAATTAGAAGCTGTGAAATATGAGTTCTATTACAATGTGCTGTATTTGAAGCAGGCATTATTAGGAATAATACATATCTAATTGAAGTGTCTTTCTGGCTCACAAACTCATTTTTCTCTCTCCTAGGTTTACAAGTTGTCCTGAACTCCATTATAAAAGCCATGGTTCCCCTCCTTCACATAGCCCTTTTGGTATTATTTGTAATCATAATCTATGCTATTATAGGATTGGAACTTTTTATTGGAAAAATGCACAAAACATGCTTTTTTGCTGACTCAGGTGAGTAATGAAAACCTAACCTAACCTAACAATAACTTCTCTTTTGTTCCTGAAAACAATTCCTGTTTAGGAGAAAATCTAAAACTAAATGGGGAGGTGTGGAAAATATACCAGTAAGTCAATGGAGTTGTTTCTTATTCATTTTATTCAGAGTAATGAGAACTTGTCTTCCTGTCTACTCTAATTTCATGTAGGATCTGTCCATCAACTAAGGCAAGGAACCTCCAAAACTGTAATGCAAAGAGATTCAATAGCATTGTCCCAAATAGTCTGGAGACTACAAGAGAAGACAGAGCCAGGGAGAGAGCGCTAGTGCTAGAACCCATGCTTAGCAAGTGCCAGGTTCCGTGTTTGATCCATGCACTGTATTCCCTCTCCCTCCCTGCACCACTGAACCATCGGGTGTGGGAGCTTCCCAGAATCACATCAAACAGAAAACCCCAGGCTGAGCGTCGCCAGGGTTGGCCTCCCCTCACCCCAGTTATGCTGGGGATGACCCTGATTAAAAAACCGAGAGCAAAGATTGGCCTGAACAAATAATACAGTGGGTAAGATACTTGCCTTGTATGTGACCAACACGGGTTTGACCCCTGGCACCTAATATGACGTCCTGAGCCCCATCAGGAGTAATCCATGAGCAACATCAGATATGTCCCCAAAACCAAAAACAAACAAACAAAAATACCAAGAAGGAGAGGACAGAAGGGAGTAGAGGAGATGGCAAACTCCATGCTGGGAATATTTGAAGTAGATTTTATGGAACAGGTGGGACCCTTAGACAGCAGAGATGGGAGTTCCAAAGCCTGCAACAGGAGATCATTCCCAGTAGCTTGAGTTTCCTGGTGGTCCCTTTTGTGAATGGTGAAGCCTTCTTGCTCTGTTTGCAGATATCGTAGCTGAAGAGGACCCAGCCCCATGTGCGTTCTCAGGGAATGGACGCCAGTGCACCGCCAATGGCACGGAGTGTAGGAGTGGCTGGGTTGGCCCAAATGGAGGCATCACCAACTTCGATAACTTTGCCTTTGCCATGCTTACCGTATTTCAGTGCATCACCATGGAAGGCTGGACAGACGTGCTCTACTGGGTAAGTGGCTTGACCAGAGAGAGTCTAGAATGTTCTTTTCTTCTTTTTTTTTTAAAAGAGTGTTTGATAGCTAATGCCAGTGGATGAGTGGATTGTTAAGAAACCTTGGAAGTCAGTTTGGGGGGAAAGGAAGCATACCTTCACCTCTCTCAGCAAGATATATTTTTTCTCCTAAAGGGCTTAGTTTTGATTCTAGAAAGCTACTACCTGATGTTGGCTTTCTTTGTTGTCCAGTGTTGACTGGGAATTCTCACTGAGTGTGCCCAGTAGCAGCTTTTTAAAAAAGAACTTCAGTCTGTCGGGTCTGTCCTGATTAAATCCCTTGACAGAAATAGGGGGTTCTTGCCCAGGTTAAGAAACTCCTAAACATTCATGGAATATCACTGATCTTTGATACATAAAGGCATACTGCTCTCCAAGATCCTAAGTGGAAACTGGAGAACTCAAATTGGCTCCCTTTCATGCTCTCTGCAGCTCAGTTTGATCTTACAGGTAAAGTGACTTTTCCCTCTATTCTAATATTTCTGTTTTGTATCTTCACTATGACTCAGAATCAGGCCAGCAGAATCCCGTAGCTTCCTTTCTCTTTGGAGTTGTAGGACTCCAGCAGAGAAGGTAGAATTTAGCACCTCAAACCTCTAGGACCATAGGCTCTTCCAATCTATTGGAAGCAGATGGACAACCCTTCACTGGCTACCATCTGGTTCTTCTTGTTCCTGACAGAGCCAGATTTACTATAAATGAAGAACAAAGCAGTAGTATTTTGAGAGCCACTTTCCTGATTTGAGTTTGCTGGCCTGTTGGATAGAATTTACAAGGGCTCACGGAACTTAAGAAATTATTTTCTACAGCATCAAGCTACTGAAAAAAAAAAAACCACTGACTTGGAGATTCAGTACTTGGTGCTTAAACCAAAGTTCAGTGGGGTTAACTAGGATTCTTACAGTTTGTTAGAAGGTAAATTCTTGAATTGAAGCCTCCAGTTACAAGGCTGACCAAAATGAGGAAAACTTCTGACAATATCTAAATTTTAGCTGCTTTAGTAGGATTTTGTATTGCTCCGTAACTTCAGGAAATATAGCATATAGCCATTATAAATAGGTTTTTGCTTGGTTATAGGACTGTAGAAGTCCTGATATAACAATGTTGGGTATGGAAGGTATGTTTTCATTTTCATCCCCCAAATGTGAGTCTGGTTTGTTAATGGGGTTTAAGCATCACCACCATGTTATATATGTTTCTCCTCCTTTCTCTGCTTGTCATAGAAATGTGTGTGTGTGTGTGTGAGTGGTTTTGCATGTCTGTTATTTATAGATATAAGACAATGCCTCTCAGGAGTAAGGAGAAGGGAGATAATATGGGATGATCCAAGACCATGGCCTTGCCAGAGGGACCCTTACATTGAGTAATGGTTGTTTTCATTATTATCTTCTAAATTGAAAGCCCTGGTCAGCTTAGTTTACTCCTCTTATTTTTTTCCTGACAAATATATGAATCATGATCCAGGTAATCTAAACTTAGATCATCTGCCCCTACGACAATGCAGAAAACAACACTTGAGTTTTTTTTTTTTAAAAAAAAACCCCGTGACTCCTCTTGTATGCTCTTTATTGTCATGGTGGATTGTCAACTGTTGATCCAAAATGCTTGACTAATAGACAATTTTATACCTTCTGTTGTATTTCTACGCACTGATTCTCTCATGACATCTTTCCTGTTGCAAGCATTTAAGGAGGCTGGGAGTCTAGAGGAAGAGAGAAAACCCCACACACACAGAAACAAAGTTTCCAGTTGCTTTCCAGTTCTTTAAAGAGGATTATACAACTGTTATCTCTGTTATCTCTAATATAACAATCACATAACTAACATTTTGACACTATGATAATTATATTCACTAGGAATTGCACAGCATCTTACTGTGATAAAAAAAACTCACATAATTTATTAATTATCCCAATCTCTGTCCCTTCTATAGAAGAACTGGAATTTTGAAGAAGGGAAACAGGGGATGTAAAAACACCCATGAACCTGATGAGGGCCCAGTAGCCTGTGGTTGTGGTCTTGGAAAACCCCTTTAAATGCAGGGGCACAGAAGAGATGTACTTAACCCTGCAAACTACCTGGACTGTGTCACAAGTACTACTCAGTACTGACTTCTGCTTTGTCCTTGGAAGCAGCCACTGACAACGTGCAGCATATAGATGGTTGTGTCCCTATTTATAGAGAACTTTATATGCAGACACCAATTTGCAGCCCTATGTCTTCAGATTGTTATTTTCTTTCAGCCATTTCAAACTAGAAAAGATTTTGGGGACTCAAAGACCACACAAGATAGGTGAGAGGCTGGGTTTGACCTACAGGTCCTCATCTAATGAGTCTTCATCTAGATTAGAAACCAGCACTTGCACCCAGAACCTGCTTGGCTTTCTTCCCCCTGAGATCTGTGAATCTTCTGGAACACTAGGGGGCAGCTAAACCCTATCTTCCAGAACATTCACCAAGCTCTTATGCTCTGAAACACATCAGGTTGCTACAAATTACATATATTAACTCATCGTGGGGATTGGCAAGGGCCCACTTACCAAGCCTTCTTCATATTCTGTGGGCCACACCCAGCGGGGAGTCACACAGCTTTTCTGTTTTAGAACAGAGCTTCACTGCCCAGTACAGTGTCCGGCCCAGCACCAGTGCTCAATAAATTCTTGTTACTCTTACTCTCCAGTAAGATGGCAAATGCCTATCTCACCTTTCCCAAGATATTAAAATACAGCACAGTTGTTAAGGAGCACCTTAAAGGATAATTAAGGAAAATTATATTTGAATTATTGATTGTGGGCACATTTCCTAATTCTTTGGGTGTATATGGTGGACAAAGTCTTTGTTGGGGATTATTTTGCATCTCGTCCCTTTTTAGTGGATTCACTTCCTCAAGACTCTTGAGACTGGCAGATGGTTGGCAGTGTCTTGAAAAAGGAGGTACTGTGCTGGTGTACCCAAAAGCAGAAAGACACACTTAGATCAGAACACATGGATGTATGGGAAAAGGGTAAAGTGAGACAAGAAGTGATAGTAATGTCCTTGTATTAAGTGGGTCTCATGACATGATGAAGCTGCCATATGACTCACAAATGTACTTTTTTGTCCACAGAGACAGTATAGTGCAAAGGAAAAGCATGGAGGCTGGGTAGAGTTGGATAAACCACCAAAACTCTATGGAATTTAACTTTCCTGTCTGTAAGAGTCAAATAAATTGATCTCAGTTTATTTTAAACTTAGAGCACATGTTTATAAACATAGGAACTATAAACTGTTGGTTACAGGAGAGGGTGATCCGTGTAAATCATGGATGGTCTCTTGCCTTACACCAAGCTCTCAGAATACACCTTTAGAGGTGTTGGCCCTTAGACCTCTGTAGGAAGTTCTCAGGGTCAAGCCAACTATCTACTTTATGTGAGGCCCCTGGGAAATTCCTCTTGCATTTGGTTAGCCAAGGGCTTGCCTTTCTAAGCCTTTCTCTTCTTCCATTCTCAGAGCCTCAGTATACCAAGCATTTTCAATACGTTTTCGGATTTTTTTAAAAACCTCATGGTGTCTCACTAATAAAAAAATAAAAAATAATAAACCTTAGGTTTAAGTTGAGAAAAAAATCGAACATTTCAGTCTCTGAAACAAGGGAAAGTGAAACTAAAAAGAATTTTTTTTCCCTGAAACACCACGTGATGACTTTGATATAAAAGTTGCACTTTAGCCTAAATTGAAATGTGGCCACTCATGCTGATTTCTCCATTATTGATAAAGAGCATACAGACAAAATCCCAAATAGAGCCTCAGTTTTCACTTTGGGAGCATCTTGCCCACTCTGACTGACTTATTCTGTGCCTAGGGTAAGATCTAAGAAAGTATTAGCATCTGAAAGAGACATGGGCTGACAAGGCTGAGTGGAGCAGTGGTCTGTCCTCCAGAACAACAGAAGTTGAGTTTCTCTTCTCTGCTTTCTAGAGCTTTCAGGAATAGTCCTCGTGCCTGTGTCTTCACTCAGCTTCCTCAGCCTGCAGCTGCGGTCATTGCAGGTGGCATTTCTGATTTAAGCCATCTCCTAAGAAACTAAAAGTTGTTTTAATTTAAAAAAATCTCTCCCCAGTGATGCAGTTGACTGTCTCTAGAGCTATTTGGAACATGAGATTGAGATGGAGGCTGGGTTAGGTTTGCCAGCCTTTGTAGAGGAGGGAGATCTCCTGGTGGCAGTCCTAGACTGGCACAGTGCCCTCCAGCCCCAGAGCACACCAACAATGTTGTGAACACTGCCGGCCTCACACAGAACGCAGGCCCCGAGAGGCCTCCAGGGGAGGTATCCACTCCAGGCAGGGCTCTGGTCTCCACGGCAGGTGGCCTGGTTCTTCTGCTCCACGCCTGGGTTTCTAAAACAAGTTTAGTGGGGTAGTTGCTTTGGAAGAATTACCCTCTGCCTTCCTGCTGAAATTAGTTTATACAACTTAATGAGATCAACAATTGCAGCCACAGGCCTGGCTCATTCATTACTCTAATTGCCAGTGTAAGACGTGCAGACCGATAGGAGTTCTATTAAGCACATCGGTTTTCCTGTAGCCAAACAGGTGTTTCAGCCGGGGTTTAATGCCCTCTCCCTGGATTTCAGCAAAAAATGTTAGGTCTTTTTTTTCCCCAATGCCCTCTTTTCCTGTTTGGATTCTGCTTGAGCCTCAGTCTGCAAAGCTAAAACCTGAAGCGATTTAGTGTAGAGGAGAACCCTCATGCAAAGACCTTCAGGCATGCCTCGATTCAACCTCCAAGGCCCTCCAAAGATGAACGTGGCAGAGATCCTGAGTCAGGCCTGGGTTGTTCACTCTGTCTCCTGACCACTCCTTAACACTCTCTGCTGGGGGAAGTGTTTCCCCAATGTTAAATTGGCTGATGCTGGAAAGTTCATCTAGTCTTGACCCTTCAAGTTGCCTGTTTGCTCTGGCATGAAAACTGCTCATGAGCAAATGTTCCCGGGGGTGTATATACGTGTGAGGGTAGTGGTGTTGGGTCCTTGTTCACTGTGCTACTCCAGCTTTTCTCTGAGGTAGGGCCAGAGGTTCCCCGCAATGAGAGGCCTCTTTCACTTGTAATTGCAATTGGGTGAGAGCTGGAGCAGCTCTCCTGAAGGTTATCTGCGCTAGATCTGGGGGAGAGGTCTTCTTTCCTCTCCCGGGTCCCTCCTGGAATCAGTTTATTCCCCAGTTTATTCCCCTGGAAATAGGACCCTCCCTTGAGGCCAGGTACTTCCCTGTGTTCTTCTTTGCACTCACATCGCCACTCCCACCCCCCCTCGCAGACTGTCCAGGCATAGGTGGGTCAGCTTCCTGGGGCTGATTGACTTCCGATGCCAAGTTAGTATTTTAGGAAGGTATTGTTTTGTTTTCAAAAGAAATATCATTGGAATCAGAAGTGGCAAATTTGTCTCTATAACTAAGACTTTTCCACCATTGCAAATTTCAAAAACAAAGACGCAAACACTTCAGTGGAGTTGAAAATAATTTCCACCTAGGCACTAGTTTTGTCCTTCTAACGAGATCTCTATCAGAAAAATCCCAGTTAATTAATCCCGGTTAAGCAATGTTCTGCAGAAAAAGAATCAAATCCCAGCTGCTTTTTCCCTACCTATGACCTCAGTTCAGTATCATTTGCCCTGAACAGTTTGATGATGATGATGGTGATGGTGATGGTGGTGGTGGTGGTGGTGGTGGTGGTGGTGGTGATGGGGGAGGGGGCTGTGTGTGTGTTTTGGAAATATATGATTGTGCGTTGACAGCTGTTGCCTCTGATTTGAATCTAAGAAAATGTTTAATTAAATGTATAGAATGCTGTCTCTAATGTGATCCTTTCTCCTTATTAGATTCTCTTATTAACCCACTCCTATGAGACCATCTTATTTCTTGCAGATGAATGATGCTATGGGATTTGAATTGCCCTGGGTGTATTTTGTCAGTCTCGTCATCTTTGGGTCATTTTTCGTACTAAATCTTGTACTTGGTGTATTGAGCGGGTAAGCTACACCTCTTTCATCTTGAAAGCAGAGTCCTGAGGACAGTTGCCAAGACCACACAGGCTTTGGTAGACAGGGGCCACCCGGCGATGCAGGTGTTCAGTGAGTCAGCTGGGATGTTTCCTTTCTTGCTGAGGTTTCCTGAATCAAGTGCTTTCCTGGAACCTCACCAGCCTTCATGAAGGATAGGACAATTTTTGACCAGAAATTAATCAATGTTGTTACTTGAGATTTAAATAGTTTCCGTTGCTTGCCCTTTTGTCCGAAAAAAAAAAAGAAATACATTAATAACTGCCTTACTGGACTGGATCAATTGGTACAAAACAGCAACTCATTGAGAGTTCCAGTTGACTTTTTGTAGGCTACATTCGGAGATTTCAGCAACCGAACTTGCCCTTTCTTGAAGCACAGAGTAGAATCGCAGAATAGAAGACCCTTGGCAGGGAACAGCGCTTCAGTCGAAGTCCTGTGTGGTCCAGCAGCTGCCCCCGGGGCTCCGCTCTTTAGTAAATGGATAACTGATAACCGATCTCCTTACATTTTACAGGTAAATGATGCGATAGGATGGGAATGGCCATGGGTGTATTTTGTTAGTCTGATCATCCTTGGCTCATTTTTCGTCCTTAACCTGGTTCTTGGTGTCCTTAGTGGGTAAGCAGTTGGATCCTTATTGCACATTTTGCTGCCGCCATGTGTGAGGCGGCTCAGCTGCCCCTGCAGCCTCTCTGCATGTGTGTGGACTTTCGTGGGCCCTTGGTGTGTTGCTTTTGGATTGAACTGTGGTTCTCTCTGCCTGTGTCTGTCTGTGAGAATCTGTGTTTCTGATGCTTGCCAAACACTGTGAATTTCAGGAAAGTGACCCCCCTCCACCACACACACACACACACACACACACACACACACACACTCACACACACACAGCCAGTTGCATTTGTATGCCAGTGTGTAGATGTGGATCACGAGTGAATCAGAGGCTTCCCAGCCTTGGTCTCCCCCAGGGAAAGAGTCCTGGTCTTCTGCGATTTTATCCCCATGAGTTCAAAGCCTAGCCTTTCACGTCACCCACAGAGTATCACAAATCTTTCCAGCGGTGTTTCTGATTTTATTGTGAAGAAGAAATAAACCTAGATTAGCACATCAATATTGAACTGCTTTAAAATCTTCACTCTCGGGGAGACGGAGATCATTTATGAGCTTGGTTTTCTGCTGCTGTCACTGGGGATTTTCCTTCTACTCCATTTTTAATCTTAGCTTATAGAGTCTTTAATGAAGACTGATGTTGCATTTCTGTGCCTCTGTGTCCTCTGACTTGATCGACGTCCCTGTCACCCAGTCACCTTCCTGAAATTTGGTTTTGTTTCTCCCTCTGGACTGGGTGCTGATGGATTCATAAGGGGAGGCCAGAGTTTCTGCCCTCACCTGTGATTGGAGATGCCCCCTTAGGTCTTCTCACCATTCTGCAGATACCCCAGAAAGGCGGGGGAGGGGCATGCCCTGGAAAAGGCCATGTAACTCTCAGGGTCATAAGCAGTGGCTCCCACAGCTGTCACCTGAGGGCTGAGTTGTGCCTGAAGCTGTGAGGTGCCTTTGTCACTCACCTCGCCCAGACCATCTCAGGAAATGCTGCTAACAGGCTTGACTTCCAGTGAGTTCTGCAACTCCTCACTCACTTTGTCTTCCTCTCTCTTCACTCCATCTTCCTCTCCCCTCTTTATTGCCTTTCTCTCCTCACTTGATCTTCCTCTCTCCTCGCTCACTCTGTCTTCCTTTCCCCTCTTCACTGCTCTCTGTTTTGCTCTCTCCTTCCACACTCTGTATTTCTCCCTCCAGGCTGGTGCCTTAGTAAGTGAAGCCTTCACATGCAGGGATCCTGTGAAGAGGCAGCCATTAGCAGGTTTTTCTAAACCCTGCCTCTCCCAGAGCTTTCTAAAGAGCTACTTACCCTCCTCTTCCTTTCTGCATCTTCCCTCAACCATGCCCTGCCTTTTCTCTTCCAAACATGTTTGGAATTCTCCCTGACAAAATGCAGTAGGTCTTATGCCAACAATCACTTGACGTCCCCCATGTAGAAAGGCCCCTAGAGCCCTCACTCACAGTGAAAACTGTGAACTGTGAGCACTGGTACTAGGTTGGGATGCGATTCCTCACCCCAACCAAAGTTTCCTTCTACAGATAAATGACTTCTCAAGCCTCAGGTTTCTTTCACTGAACATTTTGTGTTTCATTTTGGTGTTGTTGGGAAATGGAACCCACGTACTTGAACATGCTAGGAGAGCCACATCCAGGGCCCTTCATTGAGATTTTAGAAGTGCCTTCCTCGTCACGAGTCTCAGGTTAGTGTTGGAGGGCAAGGGTGTCATTTATTCCTGGAGAAGGAGTGCTGTGTTTGACTTTGCCGCAGGAACAGCCCGTACAAGGTTAACAACGACTCTGTTGTGAATTGTTTGGCGCCCCCATGTCTCCTCACCCAGCTAAACTGACTGAGGCCATGGAAACCACTAATTTTAACTGTGCCAGTGACATGCCTTATCTGTGAGCTTCTCCTCGCAGAAACCATCCCTGGCAGGATGAAGCAGCTTAAAAAAGAAAAGGAAAAAGATGGGAGGAAAGGCTCCTGGTTATAAAGACAGGCGTTAAATTGCGCAACCCAATTTAGGGGGTGGCGTTGGGAGGGTGGGGGGTGGCACGGAGCTGGAAGATTAAAATAAAGGCACAAATCCTCATGGAACAACTAGTTGACTGAAATATAATCTGGGGAAAGTATGTCATTTGAAAATATTTTTATATCAAAACAAAACTATATCTCTGATGAAGGAGATGACAAATGACTTGGGAATTTTGAAAGTGAAATCTAAGACTTCCCAGGGATTTTCCCTCATCCTCTCATGCAGTGCCTCGATTCTGGGGTACACAGAATCTGACTGCTTCCCAGGGAAGTCACCCAGCAAGACTGCTGAGGGTGCTCGGTGTGGTCAGAACCTCTTCTGCTGAGCAGAATCTATCGACCGTGCCCATACACTTGCCCAGCCAGACCATGTCCTTAGTTCCTGCTGAGTGCCCGGCCCAGGGCCAGTAGCCAGGAGTGCCCAGTCTAAGGCACAGAATCTCCACACTCAAGTGTTAATTGGGAGACAGGGACAAGAGGGCAAAGCTAGAGGAAGAGTGTAGACCACAGGTTTATTAAAGCTGAGTATGTGAGGGCAGAGTCTTGACAGATGACCCAGGTGTCGACCGTGAGAACCCCACATAGAGTTGCCATGATCCTCCCCCTCCCTACTAGTCCCTTCTCTGCCTGACTCTCTTACTCTTGGTTCGAGAAGTGAAACAATCAAAATATGTTATTTATTTGTGTTCATTTACTTTCTAAAGAAAATTAACTCGTAGGGGAGGGGCCAGGGGAGCAGCCATACCTAGTGGTGCTCAGGGCTTCCTCCAGGTGTGATGTGTGGCAATAGCTCCCAGCAGCGCTCCAGAGACCATGTAATACCAGAGATCAAGCCCGGCCTCCTATATGTAGAACATGCACTCAGCTCATTGAGCACTCTCTCTCCTCTAAAGCAATTTAAAAAATTTTACTTATTTAATTTTTTTTTCAGGGGGAAGATCATGGGCAGGGATTGAACCCAGATCAGCCACATGCAAGGCGAGCACCCTACCCATTATACTATCACTCTGGCCCAAATTTACTTTGATCTTAAGATTGTGACTACTAGAGGGATTCCAAAACCAGTGGGTGACCATGACATAAGGACTAACCCCCATGAGGACCATCAGACTAACATAAATGTGATCCCAAAACCACTGAATAGGAAGAATCACATTCTAGACACTTGAGACCAACCAGGCTGCCATCTTCCAATGAAATGTGACATGATGTGGGGTGCCTCTGCATGTTCTGTCTCAGAAATATTTGTTTCTGCTGCTCGGTTCCTTCCAGTTCATGTGGCCTTGCAGTCCTACTGTACTCTTGAACTGGTTTTAATCTGTCTTCTTGATTTGGTGCTGGGACATTTGTCAAGCATCGTAAGACTGGTGCTTGGGGAAACCATTTAGTTTTTACAACAGATCTTATTTCTCAAGGTGAGTATGAAGTTTCTGAACCATCTACCTGACAGAGCCAAGCATGACGTAGATGGAGACTTTCATTACCTTGGAGCAGTGTTTGTGGGAGGAGCTGAGAGTGTAGAGAGTGCTGCAATTTCCAATGAAGCTGTCATTAATGAGAATTGGTTAGTAGAAGTCTGAGCTAGTGATGATTCAGAGTTACATAATTTTAAATGCTTCTTTGTACACATATACGCGCATGTATGTGAATATGTCATATATGTGTATATATATACATGAGTATGACACAAACCCGTGATTACTAGAGGATGCCACTGCATAGACACCTGCTGGACTTTGAGAAATTAAGATAATTTATAATTTGCCTATGAAGTCAAAACTTTGGTTTTGTCAACAACTTACGAAAAGTATTTAAAATGCTGTTTTAATAGTTTTACAAAGATAAGCATCTAATTTAGTAAGATAAAAATTAGAGATAAATGTTTATTTTTATTTTAAAATAGATAATCAGTCCTAGGTCCATAAAAGCATTGTAAATAGAAATAATTTGCAGACCTTGTTGGTGAATTCAAGTAAAAAAATATTTTCCAGGGCCGAGAAATAGTACAGAGGACAGAGTGTTTACCTTTCATGTGGCCAACTAGGATTTGATCCCCAGTATCATATATGGTCCCTCCCCACCCCTCTGGCACCCACATAAGTGATCCCGGAGCATAGAATCAGAAGCTGAGCACCACCAGGTGTGTCCCCATTTCCACAAAAATATTAGTTCCGTGATCCATTGGCTTCCTGATCCTCACTGGTTACTTCTCTGATCTGGTGACTAACCCAGAAATGAAGTGGAGTCGTGCTCAGAAGAGAACACTCTGGCTGTCTCACATGATTAATTTTATTGCTTCTCCTTTCATTCCCGTATCTCCCAACACAGAATGAAA